AGATTTCTCATGAGCTAGGGAGACCATTTTATAGTAATGGGAGCAGTCAGCAGTCAACTTTGTCTGATTCAACTGAAGTGAAACTGTATTAGAACTTCAGTAACAGATTGGTTTGACACTAATGATTAGGCATTTGCAAATCATTAACTTTTGCAATTAAATGATGGAATATACAGATAATAGAGAAACTGAAGTTTTTATCACTCTTTCTTCAAGTGAGATCAACCATAACCAAAAGCAATTAGAGTTATAATAGCATCAGAGGTTCACGCTCTTTCATGGGGGCAGACAGCAGCCAGACTGAGTGATGAAACTTGCTGTCACTTGGACAAATGCTGGAGTGACACTACAACTGAAGACCCAAGCTTTTCTGTGATGGAGTTGTGTCTTTAAGATGTTGCGACATGCTCCTTCTTATCCAAGCATAACATGAGAAAAATATTTTGGAGTGTGCTTTTATTGGGATGTATAAAAAAGATTTCTCTCAAAAGGGCTCAGAGTACATCAGAGTTTTATTTCATTTAACCTCATAATGTTGCTTAATGGGAAGTGGAGGTGGAAATTATTATATCTGTTTTATTACTCAGCAGTACCAGACTTCAGGTGCTACATGACTTATCTCCAGTCAGTCACCTACATGCATAACTCAGTGCAGATCTCTGACAAAATCCCCTAAATTTGACTTTTGCTATCAACCACAATGGTTTCTACTGTCAAAAAAATTGTTTCTAAGTATAAAAAAATTATTTGTTAAAAGCCCACTTGATTCCTTGTCTTATTGAAATATTTATGAATGAAAGGGTATTACATGGTCTGAAATTTGCTTCAAGAAAATCCAGTTTGGAACTAAGGGAAGGATTTGGCAGAAGGGTAGCAAGTTTTACTGCTTGATGTTAGTTATATGAGTGATTGTACAATGCTCTCTACTTTTAATTATATTTTGACATTTCCAAAATATGAAGTTAAAAGTAAACCTCAGATGGTGGATTGTCAAATTTTAACATTATTTTTGTACAGTTAAAGAAGCATAGAAGAACAAAGAGTGGGCTTTTGCAGTACTTTGCTATAAACCCCAGGGTCTGGGACAGAGCTATGGCACTTCCTGCATGTTTGCCTGGTCCCAGACTCCACATGATGACTACCTGCACCCTGGCTTGTTCTGTTTGTTCCATTTACCACCTATGTTCAGATTGTCGGGGGAAAGAGGAGCATAAAATGGACCTGTCGACAAACATGGATTATGCTCTCATCATTCTCTTCCTTCCTTAACAGGCTGAAGATGAAGAGGGCTATAGGAAACTGATTGATCAAAAGAAAGATAGGCGTTTAGCTTACCTTTTACAGCAGACTGATGAGTATGTGGCCAATCTGACCAACCTGGTTTGGGAGCACAAGCAGGCCCAAGCAGCCAAAGAGAAGAAGAAGAGGAGGAGAAGGAAGAAGGTGAGCACCCTAGGTTGACGGTTGAGCCCATGGCATATGGGTAAATTCTAGTTTAAGATGAATATTCTCTTTAATAAGTACCACTTCCTACACTAATGGCACTGATTGGCAGCAATTGATACGACATGGAGGTAGATGTATTGGAGGTAAGGACTGAATTACTGATCTGAAGTAATATAGTCTACATATGCATTGTTTAATACAGTGTAATATTTTAAATTAAGTATACACAGTCAATAGGAGAAGGAAAAACATTGATACAGATAAGTGTTTGCTCAAATTTAATGTCAGTTAGGCAGGGTACTACTAAGTTAAGAAACTGAAATGAAACTCAAGAAGAAAATACAAATTGCAGTAAGCCAAAGGAAGATGTATGAGATAGATTTTAGTTACTTTTGGGAAAAATTTCAGCCTATTTGGGCAGATGGAGATGACAAAATTGTTCATCCAGCTCTGCTGCCCTGGTTTTTCAGTAAAGTAAGTGAGCAGATACAGGTGTTAGGTAGTTACAGAAGAAAATAGACTATGCAAAATTTATCCTAGTTATCATGAGACATGAAGGGTATAATTTAGCATCTCTGTTCTGCAGATATCACATCTCAATCCAAGAATAACTTTCTGAGTGTGGGCCTGTGAATACAGATCCTCTTAGATGGGTAGTAGTTCAGTGATCTAGCTCTTAGTTGATAGTCAGCTTTCTGTATCTTTGGGTTCTGTGTCTATGAATTAAGCCAACCAAGAACTGAAAATATTGGGAAAAATATTTTGTCTGTATTGAAAATGTAGAAATTTCTGCTTGTCATACAGTATAACAACTATCTACATATCAGTTACATTGCACAGATATTATAAGGACTCTAGAGATGGTTTTAAGTGTACAGGAAGATGTGTGTAGGTTACACAAAAATACTAGGCCATTTTATACAGAAAACTTAAGCATCCTCAGATTTTGGTATACACTGGGTCCCAAAGATACTAAAGGGATGACTATTATGTTTTCATGATAAATTCTGACTAGGCCAGGTACAAACATCAACAGAAAGTCTTTGTCATAACTGTGAAAATTGAAGATTGGTAGCATTTAATCATTTATTCTCCATATTAAATAATTGAAAAAAAATGGTTTTCAAAAAATAATTAATTTCACAGCTCCTGACTTCTCATACCTGTTTCATAATTAAGGAGGAGGAATAAATGATTTCAAAGGCATCTTTTCACACCTGATTTCTTTAGTGTAAGATAGTTTACCTTATTGTGAAGATGAACAAGGGATGACTCAGGGCTTGGATTTAGACATTTTCTTGGCGAGGAATACCTCATTTTCTTGTCAGTATAGTCTTTGCAAAATTCCAGCTCCCAATTTCTGACTTAAAAAGACATTTTCAGAGTTAGTGAAGGACATACAGGCAAGCAGATATAATTGTGTAATATTCCATAAGTGGACCCTATTAGGTGGCAGTTTTAGTTTTTCCTAACCTAGGAGTATGTTTTGCCAAGGTTGTCACAGTTAGCATTTTTGATATTAGGGTTCATATTCTGTATTTCTTTGTGATTAAAAGCTAATGGGCCCAGATTTGAGCTTCTTTAATAGATTTCTGTGTAGTGTTAGGTAGTTGTATCATCATAGGAAAGAAAGATAGGTAATTGACTGTTGGTGATTATCCCTATATTTTTGCTTTAATCTGGGTAGAGCAGAGATCTGTCATGATATTTCTTGTGGTGCTGCCTACTCTACAAGATCTATAGGTTGGTTGGTGTGCTTCTTCCAAATTCTTGCCTTTAGGTTCGCTAATAGCACTTATTCTTTGTATTTTATGCCTTCATAACTGAACACTTGTTATGAGCCTGGGTAGAGTACTAGAGAGAAAAACAGGATACAGACAAACATTAACCAAATATGCACCCAAATATATAATTATATACTGTGATGAATGCTGTGAAGGAGAACTGGAGTCAAATTGGATATGGTATCTGATATCCTGGCAGATGAATGACAGATACTGACGTAATGGCAGTCTGCCTCAATGAGATCTTGAACGTCTCCTAGGAATTGTCTCACATGATCAACGTGAAGAATTTTTGCGTTATTATCTGTGCCCTACCTCTTTCCTCACATGCTCTCAGAATGCTTAGCATGTGAGAGCTCTGTGCCCTTAGCAGGACGAGGAGGAGCTACTGGATTTACTTCTTGGAATATCTTGCCAGAGTGGGATGAAGAAGGAAGGGAGGGAAGGAAGAGGAAGGAAAAGCGAGACCCTTCCTAACCCTTCCTGGACCCTATTTCTTTCACAGGGCATTAAGACTTAGTGCAAAGCAAATTACCCAATTCCAGGTGCACCTTTATTCAAGTGCGAAGGAAGGGAAAGCTTTCAAAAGATGATTATTTGGCACTTTGGATTATCTGTAATTCTCCTCTCCATCAGAGTGAATGATTGAGAGTTGCTTGTTCCAACTTCTCTGTGGTGGAGGAAATGTCTGCACCCATTAGCTGAAGAATTCTGTGCTGTCCTTTTCAGCATTTCCCCACTGTGTTAAGTAATTTGCTGTACTCATCTACATTTTAAAATATTGAACAAAACCTGCATATGTTTTGAGAAAACCTGCATTACTTGGTGAGGTAATAACCCTGAGTTGGTCACACTTTTGAAGGACAACTAAGATACAGAGAACTCTCAGAACCATGCCATTAAAGATGATTGGAAAAGGATTAGGTTTTACTTTCAGTATTAAACTAATGCATAGATGATTTTTAAATTAACCAGCCTAGCAGAGAAGGCCTTTGTCTTCCTCCAGGAATTTGTTATATTTAACCGTTGCTTGTAAATAATAGGGTGGGTTTCCTATAACCTGTCATGATCTTGTTTAATTTTCTCTCCTCTTGATTAGAAGGGCATTTCTATGCAGTGTATGTTTATAAATCATTTTGGAACTTTTCGTTCCCAGCCTGGTCTTTCATTATTGCCCTTGAAATGGGAGAAAAAAGGAAGCAAACTTTATGTAAGGGCTGGAGGAGGAGTAATTTTTAACGTATCAAAATATCAAATTATGTGAAAGCAATGGCTGCAGTATTTCAGGATGCATATACTATTATGTACATTTAGCATGACCTTGAGGTCTCTGTTCTCTGCCATGGCTCTCTAACATCCACAGGGTGACTAAAAGATGGATGACTAAAAGAGGATGGGACTAGATAAACCCACCAGGTATGTACAGATAGGTTTGAACATGGCTACGTTAGTAAATCGGGCCACTGCCCACTTCATGTAAGCATGTAATCTTTTAAATTCATAACTGTATGAGAAGGCATATATATCCTAATTTGCTATTAGTCCCTTGTAGGTTACTTTATTGAAAGATCTGTTGCATAGTGCTTCAGTCTCTTGTTTCCTTAAAAGGATGCTAGGAACCCACCGATCTACTGTGAGGCTTACATGGAAAAGTTTTTATAAAGCATTTAGAATACATTTAGATGTATTTAGAACACTCCCTGGAATACAGTAAAAGTGGAATCTTGATTGTCAAAATGTGATCATGTGGGTTTTTTTGGAAAATAAAATATTTTTTATCTTGATGTTGATAACTCCTCACCATTTTTTTTCTAATTGAAGATCAATCAGAAATTAGTGGGAGAATATCTTTTAGGACAATGTCAGGTTCTTGGACTATTGGGCCATGCAAAAGAAAAATGAGGATTCATTATTTTCCATAGACTCAGCTTACTACCAGGCTCTACAACTGCTAAAGAGAGAATTTTCTAATTACATGGCCTCTAATTTAGAATGGTTTTGGTGATATAAGGTATTTCTCACAGTGCTTCAGGGTACTTTTTGTTTAAGCTGTGGTTAAGAACCCATGCCAGAGGCACTCCCACCTACTGCTTAGAAGTCTAGCCATTTCAGGGGTTCAGCTTCCAGAAGCTGTTTGACATCAAGCCAAAAATAAATGTGCAATTCTCCCTTCTACATCTTCCAATGGAATATATTCCAGCTGAACTATGCTCTTGTTATTTATTTTTGACATTTCTTGAAAACCCATGATACTAATGGGCATGCGTTCAGAGAATCCATGGGGCAGTACTGTGTCAGGTACCTTTCATGGAGGTGTTTGACTTCCTTTCCCTTAAAAGTTGTTTTATCCTTCCTCCTATTCTTTCTCTCCCTGCACCTTGTCTTCATCCTTCTTCCTTCCCCCACCCCACCACCACTGGTATAAGAAAGCTCAGAACTGTTGTGCATTGGAGGGGGATCCTTCCATGCGTGATGTATTGTTCAACATAATGATAGGAAATGTAGTTTTTAAACCTTAGATTAAAAAAATTCAGAAAAGTATGTTGGCATAATTTTTAGTGAAAAAACTATTTAAAAAATAATAATGTTGAGATATTTATTTTAAATTCAAGTTAGTCTCTGATTCTCTTATCTCTTTTTTTCCCCAAAGATTGTATAGTTTATTGCACCTTTCCCTTGCAAGATTTTCATAGGTGAAAGAAAGGTTCTAAGGCAATTCTGCACATTCGAGTGTAAGGAGTATTGTAAGAACAGGTGAATATAATGCCATGATGATTCGATTTGATTATGTCAGTGTCAAAATGGGTAAAACCACAAGTTCAGTTCAGAATCCTATTTAACTGACTTGACCAGTTACCTGAGTCAAAATGTTCAAATTGGTTTTCTCTGTAAGTAATGTGCAAATGCTTGTTAATTTGATATTCCTGGACATTTTTTATTGCTTGACCACCTATCTTTATGCTTAAGGGTCCACCTAAATGACAATAAAAATAACCCAAGTGGTTCCTGAAAGCTTTGTTTCACCAGTAAAGCAGAATGAGTCCTTAAGATGCCAGCAGATTTGAATGTTGTTTCGGCAGATTATAACAATACCTGCTGGAGGATAGCATGTGTTCACTTTATAATATGGACTGTAAAATCTTAGACATGAAACTTTACAAAATGAGGCTGTTTGTAGCCCCTGTGTTGTGGTAATCTAAACAGAGTGCCCCATTGAAATCTTTTTTCGCGAGTGCAGTTTACATGGGATTTTCATATTTAGGAATTCATTTCCCTCCACAGCTCTACTGCTCATTGTTTCATACACCTATTGCAAGAAGATTAGTAGCCTGCACATAGTTTTGTTTGTGATCATTCCTAAATGGAGAATGTAAACTGACAGTGGCTTTGGAAATTGGGAACCCAAATTGTCTTTAGTTTGAGTAATTTTTAGTAACAAATAAAATCTTTAGTTCCAAGTAATTTGTATCATACATATCTCCTTACATGACTCGGTTAATTACACTCTTCTCTTGCTACACAAGTATAATTAGTTTGAAATGTTTTGTTAGGTAGGAAGGAACCTATTAATGAATGAATTTCAGTGTTTGTTTTTTTTTTTAATCAGTGGATGTAAGTGCAGCCACCAGCCAGTGTTATCGAGAGCATGTATTTACAATTCCACAATACACATAACTATGTGTGAGAATTCCTCAGGTGGCAGGAAGCACCATGGCAACTGCCACATTAGCACCAGGCCATTTCACCAGGGACTCAGAGACTGTCCAAAGTTAGCTCAAATAGAAGCACCAATTACAATCTCTTGGGTATAAATTTGAACAGGGGAGGGGTTTCATTGTTATTTTGCTTTGCTTTGTTTTGTTTTGAGATAAAGCATCAGTTCAGTGTGAGCACATGGATTTAGGAAAACACACTAACTAGAGATCACCACCTACCTGAAAGAATCTAAAGCGTGATGGGAGAAGACATCTCTTGTCATAAAGTAGACAAGTACTTGGTTTCACCTCTTACAACATCCTATCAGAATGGGTCTAAGGACAGGGCGTTCTTGAGAGAGTTCACATAGCCCCTGTTCAACAATGAATTGTGTGTGTGCCCTTAACTATTTTATGACTTGCAAATATATTGACATCTAATCACAATTATTATTATTCCATGAGTATATACTGAATGGAAGGCATTGTTCATGGTGCTTTCATTCATTCTTTCAAAAAGACATGGAGAAAAAGAGGATTTGTTATTCAAGAACACACAGCTAAGGTCTCTTGCACTTAGTCACAGAGCTGGGATTCACGCGCAGGTTGTCTTAATTCCAGAACCAAGTGGCTTGAATCTTATAGTACTTTGCCTCTTGATACTTAATGTGATTTTTAAAAATAAATAGTTTAGGAGATTTTAAATAATGAAAGGCCTGATTATGAGGCAGTTTTTAGATAACACTCCGGCTAGCTCATATATTCATAGCAAAGTATCCTTCAGAATGGTTTTGATTCTATTCATTTATGCTGCTTCAAGCTTTTTAATGTGCTATTCATTGAAATGGTGATCCAGTTCCACTTGCTAGATATTTGAAATTGGCTTTTTCATTGTCTCATATGATTTTCTTTGTTGGCCAAATTTGTAGCTTATTTCTGGTTTGTATGGAAAGAATGGTGGGATTAATTGACTTTCTCCCATTAATTAAAACCGTCTCCTGAGTATAGTGCTTGAGAATTCCAAAAATGGAAGCTTCAGTGTTTGGTAGCAGACATGGTTTCTTTTCTGAACAAGGAGTTCTACCATTGTTCACTGTATCCCTAGCCTCAGTAAAGAGCCTAGTACTCTTTGAAGCCCACTGTTTCTTTGAGCTTGTAAATATCTTTACTTCTAGGTGGTATGAACAGAAAATTAAATCTGGGGGCATACACAACCAAATAGAGTATTTCCTTCCTGCTCCTTGGTAGAAGCTGCATTGCTGTATTCCTTGTGCCTTGTATATATACATGCATGCATATTTGGTAGGAAAATTACATTATAAAAGAACTTTTGAAGTGTCAGACATTTATGGAATTGCTCTGCTTCAGTATAGACAAAATGTTAGCTTATAAACATTAATCAGTTTCAGAAAAGTTATTTTGTCAAGGTAATATTTAGTTATTTTTATGGAAGACAAAAATGTTTTAATAGAATGAATGTCTTAAGTAAACCAAGTTTAGTTAATAATGATTTCATAGCATAATATATATTTTTAATTAACTAAAGAGCCCAAGGGAGGAAAGCTGTTTTTCTTGAATATCTTGATAAAGGAAATGACTAAAGTTTCCTCCTCTCCCCCGTTGTATTATATAGAAATATTATAACTTTTCAGAAATAATTTTAAAATAAAAATAAAGATCCTGTCTGGGGTTAGTACCAGTGGGATGGGTGATGATATAGGGAAAGTGTGTGGAGGGTGAATATGGTGCAAATACTGTATATACATGTATGTAAATGGAAAAATGAAACCTATTGAAACTATTCCAGGAATTGGGGAAGGGAGATAAAGGAGAATGATGGAGGGGGTGAATTCAAGTGTAATATATTTTATATATTGTATGAACCTTTATAAATGCCACAATGTAAATGTGGTAAATGTAAACCTTTGTAAATGCCCCAGCACAATGATAAAAAACAAAAAATAAATAAAGATTCCATAAGGGTTATATAAAATATTTCACTTGTCAAAGAGATTGTTGTAAGTGGAAGAGATTTTAGACTCTTTTATATTTATTACAGATGAGACTCTTTGGTCTGTACAAAATGTTACATAATCTTAACTTCTCGTAGTTGTCTTTGAGATACATAGAGGTTAATGGAGTAAGATATTGGAATATTTAAAAAATGGTAGATGACAGAATTTTTCATGAGATCACACTATCTGTATCAGTTTTTCCATATACACACTGTGGAAATATTGTACATTATGAAAGCCAATTAGGTAGAATGAAAAATACCCAGGGAACTCACATAATTCTGTATTATTTCATATTTTTATGACCCAGGAGCCGCTCAGAGCTTATTCTTGATGGACATTTTAAGAATGCTGTTCTTTATTGCTGATGAAAACTTGCTCCAGAATAGGAAAGTTGAGCTAATTATGTCAGAATTTGTCTTCACAGTGCCAAGCACAAGAACGTTTCTGAGTCTGACTGCTGTCTTGATGCTGCCATGTCTTAAGCTCTTTGGGTCTCTAAAGATACAATCCACAAATCTCTAGTGTAGTGGCCTTGAATCATATCTGGCTTTAAATGACTCCGCAAGTTGCTAATGCAATAGAGACTTTGTCTCAGATAGCAAAGAGAAAAAAAAAAAAGGCATTAACCCTTAAGCTTTGTTAGATGTTGATGGGTGGCCATGAAATACTGTTGCATACCAAAGAGTACCAAAAAGTTGCCTGTCTTATGTTCTTGATTTAGATGTTACACTTGACCTTGTTGTTTTGCAGAAGGCTGAAGAGAATGCTGAGGGAGGAGAGTCTGCCCTGGGACCAGATGGAGAGGTAAGGGTGGTTGCATCCATTGCTGCTGTGTTCTGAATGGAGTCTCTGCCAACTTCTGTAATATCACTCTCTGTGTATATAAATTTTATTTTCATCCAGCTAATTATTTTAAAGTAAAAGCAGATTACTATGATATAAAATTAGAAAAATATAAAAGGGATATAGTAAAAAGTGATCTATTTCTATCTCAGACTACCAATCACCTGATAGGAAGTTTGTTGTATATCATTCAGAATTTTCTGTGTACAAGTAGCCATATGACTATATAGAATATATAAGAACCTTAAGTGAGCCTATAATTACATCTGGCCAGTAAATAATACAGAAGCATAAAGTATGACCCATTTCTCTAGTTTATTACTAATTTGAAATGATCAAAATATGTAAACCTTCATATTTGGTTAACTTATTTGGAACTGGAGATCATCATGTTAAGCAAGATAAGCCACAAATATGGTGTGTTTCTGCTTATATGTGGAATCTAGACCTAAAAATAATAATATGACATGACTATAAAATGGGGACTGATGGGGGAAGGCCATGCCACGGGGCAGAGGGGAACAAGACAGTGATGGGTGGTGAATATGACTGAAGTACCTTATATATACATATGAAAATAGCATAATAAAACCCACTAAAAACTGTTTGAAAAGGAAGGAAAAGATAAAGAAGATTTAAGAGGAATATAGATGGAATGAATTTGATCAAAGTACATTATATGCCTGTATGTAAATGTCACAATGAAACCCCTTTGTATAATTAATTTATGCTAGGAAGTTTTTTTTAAAAATACAGCTTTTATGTGTAACTACATGAACATAGTCCTCAATTTTATTTCCTAGTGTTTCTAACATTTTACTGGATCATGAGGATACAAATTTTATTTGTTGGACTTAGACGGAAAAGAAATCCCTAAGGAGCTATCCAGTGGTTCACAGTAAGGGGTCACATGCCCACAGCAGGACAGGAAGGAAGTTGTTTCCAGCTACCTTCTTCTCTCACAGACTCTTATAAGCCTGCTTGGAGCATTAGGGTTGGTGGGGGCTACACCCTCCCTTCTAGAATCACTGGGCACATGATTCCTATTGTGAACTCACAGCCTGGATGCAGGAAAAAAGGTAATCACTCTTGTCGGCAGAAACCTCTTGAAAATAAATGTTGCCCAACCACTGTAATCCATCACAAGGGAAGAAGGGATCAGGATAAATGTCTAATGTGTAAGAAACTCTCAGTGGGCTGTTATGAGGAAAGAATACTATATATTAGGGCACTTAGCAACGGCTCCCGTTTGCTAAAGCCCAGCCTTACCTACGCAGGCCACATATCAGTCCGCAATTGACAAGCACACAGGGAGAGATTGAACATGTTACTGTAATAGTGCTCTTATCTCTGGGGAAAATTAGCTACTGATCTTGGGCCTGTGACATCTTTGTTTTTTCCTTCAATTTTAACACATGTGAGTTCTGTTTGCTGAAGTTTGCAAAGTGGACATCTTGTGCTGTTTGTTTTTAGATAATGTCCTTGTTACTCTCTCTGCTCATTCAGTGCTTTGCCAAAGTTCTAAATCCAGCCATAGTGATTTCCAGTTTTCTCTGAGGCATGACATTAGCAATAAAACAAGCGCCATTATAGTAGTTCAAGATAACAAGATACAATATTGCTGAGGGAAATGTTAGAAAATGGTAGATTTCCTTCTTTATCTTGTGAGTGTATAGATAGATGACCTTTTACATTAATGAGGAAGAAGTTTCATGTTGCCATGCAAAGTAATGGTACTCAAAAACATTGCATTAGCCCACATAAAAGGGGGAAAAATGACAGTCTGGAGTAAGTCTTCTTTTTAAGGTTATTTTTATGAATAATCATAATATGTTGCTTCTTCTTTTGACAGTGTTTGGTGGGAGGGAGAATCAGAATAATAAATTTTCTGGCAATCCAGAAAATCTATTAATTACAGCTAATAGTGTCTCCTATATTTATTTGACCACAAAACTAATAAAGAGTAATTTAGAAAAACATATTTGAAATAACGAAATGCCTAAACATTCCATTTTATTACTCTTCAGAAAATAGATAACGTGAAGCACTCATAAATGAAGCATTTCCGAGGATTTTACCTGGTCTCTGCTCATAGAAATCAGCCATCCTGCAATCAGCATTTATTTGCATAGTATTGCTGCATCTTCAGGCCTTTTTAAGACAGTTTGTTCTCTGGAGTAGGTTAAATACAACCTCTCAAGTTTCGTTTATTCTCTTAATTTTCTGAGCATGCCATTTTTCACAGAAATGCTCTAGAAATGAACTTCTCAGTCTTAGTCAATTCTCCACATTCCAAATAGTCAGGCCTTTTTTCCTTTATCATACACAGAAGTACAATGGTTAAGGTAGACACATGGTGGTTTGGTTTTAGATAAAGCACACTGGTTCTGTAGAAGCGAAGCCAGCTTCTAAGAGTTGGCATGGGCTGCAGTATTTGTTCCATTCCCTCAGAAATCATGGCTATGTGGTGACTATGCAGTGGTTATTCCTTGGGATTGGGAAGTTGTTAGTTCCACATGACCCAAATCAACTATGCCTACCTTAAATAAGAAGGAAATGTGTTACATGTTGAGCATCCCTTGTCCTAACTGCTTATAACAAGAAGTGTTTCAAATTTGGGATTTTTTTGGATTTTGGCTTATTTACACACATACACACACACACACACACACACACACGTAAATATAGTGAGATATCTTGGGGATGGGACCCAAGTCTAAACATGCACTTTATATATGTTTCATGTACAGGTTGTAAACATAGTCCAAAGATGATTTTATACACTATTTTAAGTGTGTGTGTTTTGTCTGTGACCCATCTGTGAGGTCAGGTATGGAATTTTCCACTTGTGGTGTCATGTTAGCACTCAGACGTTTCAGATTTGGGATTTTTGACTTAAAGATGCTCAACCTGTAGCAGGATAAAGGATAACTAATAATAATACTGGAAAATCTGACTCAGGGCTGAATCCCATATAACACCTTACAGTTGGTTTAGGGAGACATGGCTGCTATTGGGGAGCAGGCAGGAGTTGGGTACCAATGCCGCCTCACTGACATGGCTGACACCATGATTTGCTCCTCCCTCAATGTGCTTTTTGGTCCTAACTCAGCCTTGGTGAGAATATCCAGGTGGAGGAGTTGAGACTTTAACTGCTAGGAGGCGGGAATTTCAGTTTCATTAGTAGGCAGTGGCCTCTCTTTTCCCAACAAGACTCATTAGGTAGTGAAATTTTAAAACACGAAAACATTTCAGATGCTGAGCAGCCACAAAGCTGAGGAATATCTAGCCTAGATCTGAAAGGATGACTTAATATCCAGTGGTGACATGATTTCTTTTGCCCCTTTCTAGCCAATAGATGAGAGCAGTCAGATGAGCGACCTGCCTGTCAAAGTGACTCACACAGAAACCGGCAAGGTCCTATTTGGACCAGAAGCACCCAAAGCAAGTCAGCTGGATGCCTGGTTGGAAATGAATCCTGGGTATGGTGTAAAAGAAGTGCTATTAGTATTCTTTGGGCTTTGTAGGTTTTGGTGGTCGTTGTAAAATCTTGAAACTGAGGCAACACAGCCCTTGCTGAGATGGTAGAATTTGTTATCTGCATTATCATCTGTACATAGAATGTTCTAGTTAAGTCATATGTGTCTGAAGTGTTTTATAATTTAAAGACCTAAGCACCTCTTCTCCAATCCTTTTCCTTAGTTATGAAGTTGCTCCTAGATCTGATAGTGAAGATAGTGACTCTGACTACGAGGAAGAGGTATGCATACATCTCTCTTTGGGATTTACTGAATTGAAAGTTGGTGGAGGGGAGAGAGATCTCGCTGAACATAGGCCCAATCCCCTAGACCTTCTATCCCTTCTTTCTTTGGAGTTGGTTTTCAGGTGAGGATTGCAGAAGTTCTCATGGTGCACTGATCTTTGGGGGGCTTCTGACTGTTGGGGAAGCTTGGCGAATTCTAGATTCATTTGGGACCAAGGAAAGAGGAGCTGGCATTCAATTGGAGATGGCGAAGAGGTCTTGCAGGGAGAGATTACTGTAGGAAAAGCAATCCCAGTCTTCCAAGTGTTTCATGCTGAGAGTTAACTGCCTAAAATTTTTGAAGTCCTTTAGGCCTTAGAGTCTATTTGAAGTTGTGAGTCTGGGAACTTAAATGAACAGACCAACATGGGCTTGGCTTAATGAACTTACTGATCTGGATTTCTCTCCAAATGTGATTCTTATTTGAATCATTGGATACCCAATGAGAAGCAGATTTCTCATGAAATGGGAACCTTATATACTTTTAATAGGAATTTAGAAATAATATATTTGTTGGGTCAGTTATGAAATATTTAATAAGTACAGATAGAAGGATTAAATGATTTTTATCTCCTTTGCTAGAACATTGTTACTATGTAGCTATTAAATGTGGTGCATAGAGATGCCACAACTTGTTAAAAAGCAAATGCTTTGGGGTCATGCTGTATTTTTTTCCCAGCCCTTCTTTTTCTTTATCTTGTTCACTTGGGTGAATGGGTCTATCCATGATCAACTGAAAGAGTTTTCTCTGTGAGGAGGAGAGCCAGAGGGGGTAGAGAGAATAAGATAAAGTAGACTGCTTAACCAGGGAGCTGGGAAGAGATGAACTCTGACCTGGGGGTAGCCCTAAGTCATAAGCTACCACAAGTGACTTATGGCCAATCATTTCCCCTCCCTCCACTTCCTCACCTAGGAGGTGAAGGCTTTGTGCTGATGGCTTACTCCTTGCATTGTTGGTTTGGTTTTAGCACTGACACTGTGTCAGTTCCTGCTTTTTCATTCAAAAGTTATGAAAATGCATGGTTACCTATAAACCTGATTTTAACACCAGGTTAGTAGTGGACATAATTAATATTTAGTGACACTTTCAAACTGGTTGGTGGAGTATGGTACATACTCAAGAGGTAGAGATGTAATGAATCCTATGCTGAGTCAGTGTGTTTTTTCTGAATGCTTAGATATGTGTTGTGATGCAGCCATACAAAGCAGAGTGCTCACAAGTTCAGGGTCCCCAGCTAGTGTGGGGGACCCCTAGAGTCCCACAGTGTGATCAGAGGGAGCATTTTTAGGAGAAAGAGAATATTAAGATCTCTAATATCTGCCTTTGGAGAGAGGGATATGGAGTTCTACTAAGAGCAGATATGGTTTATAAGGACTCTGAGTAACAAAATAATGACAAATATCTTTCTGGCATGAGTTTTACATGCTTGTTCTCAGAGAGTCCCTTTTGTTCTCTCAACAGCAATAGAATAATGAATTCTCAGGTTTAAGTAGATGTTAAATTTGCTTCCTCTTTTTTTGTGTTTACTTCATTTGTGATGTAGAATACTATGTAATATCTTTTTAGAAAATACTAATCATAGGATTCCCTTGTTATAAGGGTAGGTTTCTCCATATCTTTGTTCCTTCCCCAGGATGAGGAAGAAGAGTCCAGTAGACAGGAAACCGAAGAGAAAATACTTCTGGATCCAAACAGTGAAGAAGTTTCTGAGAAGGATGCTAAGCAGATCATTGAGTGTGTATCCCTCAGCGTTTTCTAAGAAATCCAGTGCATGAGGATCATGCTGTGCAAATTTTCTTTTAGAAAATTTTGTTCAAGGAAGGGAGCCAACTTCATGCTCACACTCTGCTTGAAACTGTGTCCTCAACCCCTCAGAAGTCACTTCTGAGCTTTGGACCCCAGGTCCAAGGGCATTAAGTTGTCATCTCTTCTATCTTTTCCTTGCTGCTTCCTTCCCTCCCTCCTTTCCTCACTCTCTGTTTCCCTCTTTCCTTCTTCCCTTCCTCTCATCCTCCCCTCCTTTCCTATCATTTGCATGTCAGCCCCAGATTAGGCTAATCAAACTATCCCTCAACTGGCTGCTTTCCTGTCTTTCCTACCTCCCTTAATGGCATCAACACACCCAGAAGCCCAATTGTGAAACATCTTGTCTTGGTCATCATAGCCAAATCAGCAACCTATTCTGTCCAGCCTTGGAACTTCCCCTCCACCTCCCCCCATCAAAGTGCCCTAGTGCTGCTCCAGCCTGTCCTCTCTACCAGGAGTTTGCACATCTCTTTACTTATACAACTCTATTATTATAGGGAAATTGTTGTGAAACAGTCTGTAAAAGAGAACTTTTCAAAAGATGAGATTTTAAAAAAAAACCAGAAATAGACATGTAATGTAGTCCTCCTTTTTCCATAGCTGTATGTTCCACTTTAGGAGACTTTGTTTCACCAGCCCTCCCTGCTCCTTGAGGGAAGGTTTTAAGAATGTTCAGTGGCTCCTCACTGCCCATAGAGTAAAATGCCACCTCCTTAACAAGCATAGAAGATGGAAGACTACCTTTCTTTTTTCTGACCCTTTAAAGTCCTCTTTGTTCCTTCAAGCTTTAGCCAGTGTTCTGTGAATAGGATTTATCTTTGTATTCTAACAGGCTGGGAAAGCATCATTGGCAAGGTGTTAATCTGAAGCTGTAGGGTTGACCTCTGGTGCTGTTTGGAGGTCAAGGGCACCTTTTATGACCTGGGCAAATGGAGTAACCTTTCTGAGCCTCAAGTTCATCACATGCATAAAATGGGGATATTAATAATGCTTAGTTTGCTTAGCTTTTGTGAAGGTTATGGATAATATATTTTCACTACTACCAGGGATATAGTCATTGCTAAACTATACTTATTGTAGTTATTTTAGGCTCTCAACTCATTTTGGATAAAGTAGCACAAGTACTAAAATGTCTCCACATACTTTTCCACTGTGTCTTTTTCAGAACAGCGAAGCAAGATGTGGATGATGAGTACAGCATGCAGTACAGTGCCAGAGGGTCCCAGTCCTACTACACTGTGGCTCATGCCATCTCAGAGAGAGTGGAGAGGCAGTCTGCTCTCCTCATTAATGGAACCCTGAAGCATTACCAGGTAGTTGGCATGTTTGTGTTTTCTGGGCGAGTAGTCCTTTCCCTGCATTCCATCGGTGTGTGTCATGCCCGTGTTGGACTGCTTAAGAGGTTTGGAAGACAGTGACATATTTTAGTCACTTACACTTACAATATTGAGAACTGACCCACTGTGCCTATCATTCTTCCTTCTCAGAAAAGATGTGTGATCATTTTTCTAAGAGACACCATACCAGCTTTCTCTTTTGTAGTTTTGGTATGAATTTTGCTATAAGAAATACTGGTTTAACATTTGGAACAGTTTCATTGTAGATTTCTTCAAAATAGAAAAGCCAACCCCCTTCTATTAGTGTCAGCTACATCCGTACTCCAACCTGAAGTAAATGAAGCATTTTAAAAATTTTTTCGTTGTGACTAGTTTTATGCTATGGATTCAGCCACCTAGCAAAATCTATTACATTTATACTTTTTCATCTGTTTATTTTTCCTTGAGGTGCTGGGGATTAAACCCATGACTTTGTGCATGCCAGGCATACACTCTACCACTGGCTATATCCTCAGCCCTTCATTTATGCCTTCTTTGAAAAAGTAAAATAAAGTTGTGAGCATCCATGCTTTGATAAAATTAGGCTGTAACTGTAACAGATGTGTTTCATTTGACCTGTCTGCTTTGAGGTCAACTCCTGTGTTCTACATTTTTACTGCTTTGTAGTGTTCTCAAAGTGTGTTCCTTAGAACATTTGGTCCATGAATTACTCTTCAAAAGTTTTTTTAAATAAAAATGCAAACATAGTAATTACTATCTGCTGTAACTAGGGCTATCATATAATTACTATTCCAAGTGATACTTGGGGGAACAAGTAGGAGCTCTGATTATTGATAATAGCATAACCCAGGACTGCCCCAATCAGTAGGGTAAATGTTACCCCTCTTGGTAATCCATGGCACACATCAGCATGCTAACAACTCTGCAAAAATAAATGTGTAATTCCTAATGCACATTAGCCTCCCGCAGTAAAATAACTTATTTAACTTTGTTTAATTTTGTAACTCTCAAGCTTCTTTGACCACCAAAGCCACATTTTTATTTGTCATTTACTAATATCTTATGAACTAGTGTCTCCTAGAATAGTCTTAGGGACATGGATTCTTTAGAACAGTGGTTCTCACTTTTTGGCATCAGGTCCCTTCCAGTCTTCAAACAAGGCTCTGTGCTTCTGCCATGGCATGGGAGTGAAGCATGCATGACTACTCATGTAGTGACACCTGACCTGGACTAAGTGTTAGCATGTGTTACTCACTATTGATTTTGTATTATCAGTGCTGATGTCAACAGGGTAAAAATCATGCCTTGGTATTATGAATATCATTCTGATTTTGTGGATATCCTGAGAAGGTATTGGGACCCCCAGGAGCCTCTGGAGCACACTTTAAGGACACTGCTCTGGCCTTGGTAATGTTTTTTTCTAAAGATAATGCAGCCTTCATGAGGTCCAGGGTGGTTTTAATCTCATTTGGCCTATCTGACCTGGTTGTTAACTCACAATGTGTTTTAATAAGCTTTTATTTATCTGTGAATGGGAGATCCATTTTTTTGAATCATTGGCAAATAACATTTAATCCCACACTGATTTCCTCCTGCCATCCAACAGCTTTTAAGCCTTCTTCATCACTGCCTTTTCAAACCTAGCTCCTCCTTTCTTCTCAATGTGAATTCGATGCCTCTTCCTTTCACTAGGCTGCTGTTGATTCCATCCATCCATCCATCCACTGTCTGCGCCTGGGTTTTTGCCTCATGAAGTTCCTTCTTCCTGGAATCTGATCACCCATATCTGCCTGATGAGTTCTTTGTTTGTCACAGACTAGTTCAAATTGTGGCTCAAAATCTTCCCTGGTCATGAGTAAGCTTTCTATCTTGCTCCTTGACAAGTTTTTATATCATAACTATTTAACTTTGACATAGCTGCAGCCTTCCTGCTGCTTCCTAGAGTTACATAAGTTTTGTTCAAATATCCCCCACCCCAATTACACAGCCTAGGAAAGTCCAAGTCAGTTCCCATAGTTTTTTGTGAATTTCTAGTCTTCTCTATGGCTAGTTTCTGCTTTTGTTTTATCTGGGATTAACACAGTTGAAAAATTCAGAACTTTTACGAGTTTTCATTTTTAAAAAATCCACTTTCACTACCTAGCCAAGTGTTTCTGGCATTTGGTTGACTTTCCAAAAGGTATGATGGTCTCAAGGTTGCAGGCAGCTTGTCTTGCTCACCACCTAGTGGCTTCCATTTATTTACCCTCTTCCCCACTCTCTTTTGTTTGTTCTCTTAGAAGGGTTTTCCCATTTCTCTCTGTATCTTTTGGTTCTGTGGCTCTACAAAAGCCTTTAGAGTGACTTGGGTTTTTGCACAAGTTACCCTAAGTGACTTATGAAAATATTTCTTCAAGCTATCACATTGTCTCCCTAAGAAAAATTCTGTACAATACAATTTTATACGTATACACTGGCCCTGTCAACTACTTCTTCGTTTATGGGTTTATGTGCCTTGTTTGTTTTGTCCTTGACTGTAAACTTCTGGAAGGAGGCATGCATCTGTCCATTTGCTATAGCTCCTTCACAAAGAATAGTTTTACAAATATTAACTACATTAACCAGTTGCTTTGTTCTTACATAAAAGAAATTAGTATTCACATTTCCCTAAGCATAACTTCATTGGCAAGCTAAATTGACTTTAATACACACATACACACATATGTGCATATAATTCATCCTACCATTTAAACCCAGCATCTGTGGAGTGATGGTGCAGGGGAATTGGGAATTGTAGGAGGGAGGTTTAACAATTTTGTATTCTCACCTCACCTTTCTTTTGTACTTAACATGAGGAATCCAATGCTGAGTCTCTCGTGCACTGCTCTTGTGTTTTAAAAATATGTTGCCTGTGTTTGGTTTCCAGGCAGTCGGCTCCCAGTGTGCTGCCTTTGGGGAGTACCCACACGGCACAGTTTCCATGCGCTGCCTGCGAACTCTGTCTCTTGCCAGGAAGAGGAATGTCCTCCCAGGGGCCCAGCAGAGTGGCCTGGCTTTCCTGGTTGTGCGGGCTTCCTTGCTGAGGGCATGGCACCCTGGGGGCAGGTTGTTCATTACCAGGAAGGCTGTTTCTAATGATCAGTGGTCTGTGTGCCAAACCTGCCTTCTGGTTTGTTCATCCTTAATCCTCACATTGGCTTTTTGTTCTTGGAGTGTTGGAAAAGATTTGGGTTTGGGTTTTCTTCATTTATAATAATTCTAGAATGTCATATACTGCGAAATGCTAAGTAGGGATGAGCAGGAAAGCTGCTTAAAATCCTACCAGTATGCTACAGCCCATCATTTCTAAATCTGATTAACACTCAGCACCTGCTAAGCAGCAGGACGATTACAGGCTCATCGTTTAAATTCTTTTTGCATTGGTGCGTCCTACCACTATCCTACTGTGGGAAACCCAGCATACAGCACTGAAAAGTTAAGAAGTCACAGCCTCACTTGAGTTGTATTAGTATTAATTACCTGTGCAGATCTTGGATAATTGAAGCAATTACTCTTCATTTCAGCTCCAGGGCCTGGAATGGATGGTTTCCCTGTATAATAACAATTTGAACGGAATCTTAGCTGATGAAATGGGGCTAGGCAAGACCATACAGACCATTGCACTCATCACTTACCTGATGGAGCACAAAAGACTCAATGGCCCCTATCTCATCATTGTTCCCCTCTCGTAAGTAAAGTCATTTATTCCTCAGTCACCGTTCTGTATGTTGTAGATTGCCCTATTAGTAGCTTGTCCTTCTTTCTCACTTGAGGCAGAATTGTACCATGTAGTTGGATTAGCAGGAGCACGTAACCTGAATTTAGGTTTTTAATTTCCCACCCAACCCCACCCCACCACAGCCTCACTGATGGCGCATTAAGTACAGGCCCAAGTGATTTTTTATCAGCCATTAGCACTGCGGTCTACACAGTGTGCATGCTGTACAGTGGGTCTTATTCATCATCTCTCATTAAGTGGTTCACAAAAGGTAGAGGTGTGGGTATTTTTGTAAGATTTTTAAGATGTTTCCTCATTCCATTTGCAAAAGGTTTTGTGTGTATGTGGGTGTACATCTTTATTGAATCTTTTTAAGTGGAAATCAGAATCACAAGTATGAATTTTGGGTTAAACTAACCCCAGCGTGTGCACTTTGTGTTTCAATGACTTTGCCACATTGCAAGACCAGCCTTTGCAGTTAACCATCACATTCCCAGTGCCTCACCCACCTGGGGGTGGGGTAGGGGTAGGGAGGAAATGCTCCTTATTGGTCTTTAGGGGATAATCCTGAGTGAAGGACTAAGTTTTCTCAGTCACCCTCCCTGGGAGTGCAGTGAATCTGGCTGTTGCTGCCAGGTTGCCTTTTTATTCAAATGAAACCTATGACAAAATCTCAGTGCTGATAATAAGTTGGACCTTGAGTAAGAATAAGAATTAGAGTTTTGTATTTTCCTCAAAGTTTGTCTAAATGAAGACTATCTGCACATCTTTGCATATCAATTACCTGCTTCCTTTGCATTTTATCTATGTTTTGTATGTTCTGACTCACATATTATAGTGAGTATTATCATTCAGCATTTCTTCCCCTGCTCCCTCTTGGTAGATTTATTTAATAGTCCCATGTGGTTTTATAATTTCTTTTTTCCCAACTCAAGTTTTCTCTGAACTTACACAGCTACTTGTAAAGATTCTCTAACTCACTGTAGCAATTACTGTTTTTCAGTACCATATTCCAACTTCATTTTTTTGCTCCCTGCTCTTCTGCACTTTTAAATTTGCTCCTTTTGAGTTTTTTTTTAATGAATCATAAAGTTGTCATGCTTTGTGGCAGTTTATTTCTAACTTATCTCTTTATTTCCACACCCTTTAAATAAATATGTGGTTGAGATATTTTAAGGAAGGGTCTGAAAATGAATAAGAACATTGTTTTAACCACTGACTTTTATACAAATGTCTTTTTTTTAACTGTATTTTTGTTGTTATTCTGTAGGACTCTATCTAACTGGACATATGAATTTGACAAGTGGGCTCCGTCTGTGGTGAAAATTTCTTACAAGGTTTGGAATGCTGTATTTATATATAAATGTGGAAAAGCAAAAATAGGCCCTTTTTCTTCATTCTATATGCACATCTGTGAACTGTATTTGGTTGTAAAGTTTTGTCATGTACATCATGTACTAAACAGTGAGAGTTAATCATCCCAAGAAGATTACTGTAATAAACCATAATTACTTTCAGATAGTGAAATGCAGAAGAAAATTGTTAATTATCATATTGCGAGGTTTCTGATGAGAGTAATACAAATGACAAATATCGCACATTTTGCGTGCTGCTGACTGGCTCACTGTGGGCTGCTACTGTGCCGAATGTTCCTGCAAAGTCAGGCAATTACCCAGGCACCAGGGCTGCCTGCTGCAGGCTCCCACAGAAATGGAGCCTTTCAGCTGAGCAGCAGGTTCCCTACTACTGCAAGCTCACTGCAATTTCCTGCTTTCTTTCCCTTCCCCAGTCTTAAGTGGGAAAACCTTCTTATATGGATGTAGAAAGGGTCAAGACGTGCGTGTTTTAGCCAAGAGTTTCTTCATGGATAATGGGCAGATGATAACGCACGCATGTGCACATGTCACCCTCTAGGCTCTATTAAGCTGTGAGTAGTAAGAAATCACACCCGTGTACTTCCATTGGGTAATCTATATATTTTTCTTTCCATTCAGGGTACCCCTGCCATGCGGCGCTCCCTTGTCCCCCAGCTACGGAGTGGCAAATTCAATGTCCTTTTAACTACTTATGAGTACATTATAAAAGACAAGCACATTCTTGCAAAGGTATATTTTTAAAAAATTCTTTTATCTCTAATTGTGTATCATCTCACTGGAGTGTAAAATATTCCCCAAATTATACTCAATAGTATAATTTGATTATTGTATGGCTGCTAGCTTTCTGTTTTTCTTTCTTTTTTTTTTAAACCATGAGTCTTGGCTGTGTGCTTTAAGTTTTTGCTTGCTATTTTTGTCTTGCTGTGTATGATTGATCCTAGACTCTTCCCTGTCTGCTCATAGTTAATAAGTTTACATCATTTAAGAAAATTCACCTGGGTTCCTTTTGTAACTTTTCTCTCCAACATCCCTGAATGTGCCTAGAAAGAAATAATTGTTTTTGTTGCCCTGGGTTATTGTCAGTGTAACTGTATTCCTCTGTGCCTCTCTCCAAAGATGAGTAGGCACCTCTTCATCTGGTCTCTATATGAACGTTTACCTACACTAAGACTTGTGTGCTATATCTGTTTTTGTTTTTCCTGGTCGGGTTGGTGGGATGGCTCAAGTTGTACAGTGGCTGCCTAGCAAGTGCAAGGCCCCAAGTTCAAACCCCAGTACTGCCAAAAAAAAAAAAAGAAAAAAATAATGGGTGATCGTTGTCCGAATTACTTGAGGCTTTTCCTGTGACTATTTGGAGCTGAGAAAGAGTTGTTTCTGTGACCTACATGTCTCCTTATTTGTATGTCCTAAGTTGTCTGTTAGCCAAAAAATAAAAGGTTTTTATTTTCCATTTATATCATGTGGTTTCCCAATATGTTCATATAGAAAGATGGAAGTACTGTCTTTCATGGAACAAATCATGAAAACTTAATTTTTCCCTTGGTAATTCTTTTACTCCATGGTGTTTTGAAACCACTGTAATATGAAACTAAGTTATGGCCAAAATTGAATAGATCCCTATTTCTGGGGTTTGTTCTATTTGTGCATTAAACCTTTGCTCTGGGAACTGAGAGCTCCCTTCATAGTATCATAGGAAATAACATAAAGGAAATGTGTGCCCAGGGGAGATTTAATAATTGAGATGGCACTGACAATACTGTGTTCTATTCCTCATACTCAGAGATGAATTTGGCAGTGTCAAAAATGACATGTTTCCAATATTACTATGGGAATGTGTTTGTACATTTGAGATTCTTTTTAAAAAAATTCATATTGTGTCTTCTGCATATGTATTTCAAAATTCATTGGAGACACCTGGTAACGAGATGCATTGCTTTTATTTATTGCTTGAGAAATGGCACTACAGAAAGGGGTAGTAATTTTTTCCAAGTGTTAAGACCTAATTAGGAGTACACCCAGTAGCAAAAGCAGAGGTCTCTGGTTCCTTGTTTACTATTTCATAAACTAAATTAGGCAGGAGAGTAGATGTAGAATATTTATCTAAATACATTTGGTTTTTTGGCCCTCTCTTCATGCTATTGGTACACTTGAGGTAGTTGATAGTACAACTTTAATTATTCTTCAGCATTTTCCTTGGAGGTGGTAGAGGAAAGAAAACAATCTGATAGTTTCTTTTACCTGCACATCCCAGCCTGACTGATGATTTTATTCTTTTCCCCCTGGTGTTACTGGTGCTTCTAATGAGGTAGGCAAGGACTGTAGAACACTCTGCTTGTCTGCCTCTTCTCTCAGAGCTTTGTAGCAGGGTCTGGGACATCTTAGTTGCAGATGCTTTTTGTGGCCACCGCCACTGCTGTGTAGAGAATGGACAGGCTTAGTGGAACATTCCTCATTGTTGTCACTTTAAGCAATCTAACAGTGGCCTTGAAGACGGTTGAAAAGTGAGGTGTGAGAGGGGAAATTACCTATAGCCTTAGGAAGGAGGATTATGCCATGAGCATTCTCAACTTTTTAAATAATCCTGATATTGGGAGATTGTTGTATGTGTGCTAATTCTGCAGGTTTGGTATAAATGGAGGAATAGTACTTTTGCATCACCTCTGCCAGTGAGAATATTTTCATTTTTAACAGAACAGGGATCTTAAACTGGGCAAGTAAGGAATATACATGAACTAAGGGAGCCTGGTTTCTTGATCTGATTTTTTTTAAAGAAGCTGGATATTCATATTTTTATGTGAACTATTCCAACTTTTTAATATGAGCAACCAGTTTAAACAAAGCCTAACAAAAGAAAGCAAAACCCAACACTGAGGCAAGCCATAAAGATAGTACACGGCCAGTGCAATAGAAAAGAAAGCAGGAAGCCAAGAGGAGCTCCGCTATACTTACCTGCTAGTGCCATCCTACAAAAATCACTCATTAATTTCTGCTTCAAGTACCTATCTATATTCCTTTCTTTCTATGAACAGAGATAGCACGGTCATGAAATCTCAAATAGCTCTCATGACACAATAGCAATAGAAGGAGCTTTGGATGGAGAAATGTAAGATCTAGATGCAGCAACCACTTCATTCTGGGCCCAACTTTCCTTCTTTGTAAAATGGTGATTTGTAATCATGAATCAAAGTTATTTCTTCTGAGGTGCATCGTTGCCTTAACATTCCATTATTGCATGAGTTTTACAGACTCTGTCAGGAATGGGAAATATTCTATTTTTTGAGATTCTTTTCTCTTAAGGAGTATCATACCACATCAAGTACAAAATTGGATTCTTTGGTTTTCCACACTTGCATTTGCCTTTTGGAAGTGGTTGTATTCTTCCTTGCTCACCACACATTGGTCCTTTCTCTTGTGTTACAGATACGGTGGAAATACATGATAGTGGATGAAGGCCACCGGATGAAGAATCATCACTGCAAGCTGACTCAGGTCTTGAATACTCACTATGTGGCCCCCAGAAGAATCCTCCTGACTGGGACCCCACTGCAGAACAAGCTACCTGAACTCTGGGCCCTCCTCAACTTCCTCCTCCCCACAATTTTTAAGAGCTGCAGTACATTCGAACAGTGGTTTAATGCTCCATTTGCCATGACTGGCGAAAGGGTACTGTTCTAACTTTTGTTTTTTTCACTGCATGACAATGAAATGAAATCAAAGGGCCTAAAGCTGAGACCATTGGAGCCACAGAAAGCCCATATGGGGGTTACAATGTTGCTTCTTTGTGAAACTGATCAGTGGGTGAATATGGTCCCATCCTGGGATTATTTTCCCCTCTGAATCTAGAAGTATGTGGGGCATTCCAACCCCTTTGCCTTTTGCCAACATGTTTCCCAGTCCCTCAGAGAATATTCCTGACTGGTGGAATACTTAACCACAGCAGGCCACAAGGAGGTTGAACATGGAGATGTTTGTTGAACTAATTTAACCAGACCAACTCAACCAAATGAATACAAACACTAAAACAAATCTTTCCTTGTTAGAAACTTAGACTTCCCTTTGAAGTATTTCCATGTAGAGTTTGTGTTTAAAACTGAACTAATTTACATTAATTTTCTGAACATACTTGTTTCAGGTTCTAGTGTGGGCCTCTGTTTTGTCTACCAGAGTAGACATTTTCAAATTTATTATTGTTATTCCTTAATCTGTCTTCTGTTTGAGCTTGCATGGCCGTTGCAAGAAAAGAAATGGTACATGCCATTTTGATTAGTGGTTCCTTAACTATAATAATAAGAAGCCACTAAAAAATGCTTTAGGAAAAATTATGTTTGAACTCTTTGGCCTTTGATTCTGAGGTACCTTATAGGCACATTTGCTTTTGTCAGCAGTTGGCTTGCCCACTTGTACTAAGTAATGCCAATCAACTCTGCCCCCTAGAGGTTAACAGATGAAGGTGAACAAAAAAGTAAGGGATTTTATAACACAGGCTTAAACTTGAACAAGATCAAGCCAGAGAAAGGGAAAGGAGTTGAAGTGGAGGGACGTAGACATCCACCAGCTTAAACATGATCGAGTCTTGTTCTTCCACTTTCCATGTCAAGCGCCTATCCCCTCATTATGTTTCTGTATCTGAGACCACTAAAGTCAAGGGTCTACTTTAGGGCTTCAATTTAAGTAGCAACACATTAAATATCTCCTCTTTTCTCCCATTCTATCTCAATCTTCAATCTTTATTGCAGTCACATCCTATAAAACTGACCTGTTAGATAATAATCTAAAACTGGGTTTCTGAACACTTTTCCTCAGAACTAGGCATTAAGACAAAGGCACTCATTTAAAGGCCATTTTGTTCCCACCTGATGGACAGGAGGGTGAATTTGGAGGCAAGTGTGACCAGCATACACCTACCTGATTTTAATGCATGTACAATTCAGTCATACATTGAAATACATAAGAGATGGATCATAAAGCTTTATTACATAAAACATCCTTTAAAAAATCAAATTCATCTAAGGTTCTTTTGTAGGTGGACTTAAATGAAGAAGAAACTATATTGATCATCCGGCGTTTGCATAAGGTGTTGAGACCATTTTTACTGAGGAGACTGAAGAAAGAAGTTGAATCTCAGCTTCCAGAAAAAGTATGTTGCAAATTCAGTGTTTTTTTGGGGGGGAGAGGATACTCCTTGCAAATATATTTGAAGTGTCTGCATCTGAAACTGTGTTTCTAAAATAACAAGCTTATAGTTTAGTTACAGCTATCTTGAAAATATACTAAAGTGCCTGTTTTATTAAACAGACCTAAAGAGAGTAGGAAAATCACAGCATGCTCTAACTGGTTTCTAAAAACTTTTGGGCAGATTTTACAAAATTACCAAATTCTCTGAGTCTAGTTACATTTTAACTTTAGATTTTTTTTAAAGTTACTGACCTTGTTAAGTTCGCTAATGCAGACATGTGGAATTTATGTCATTATTGAAGGGCATAGAAAACATATGCCAGGTTTCCTGGAAGTGCATTCAGTATTTAATGTTCAGGATGTCACCATTCTGATTGTCAAAAATAGAGTTCCTGCAAATTACAGACACATCATCTAATTATTCTGGGACATGGTTTTTGTCTTGCACTATAAAAATTAAGTTGCTATGAACATTTTAAGCAAATATTTTTCAGATAACTCCAGTGCTTTAGAATGTCTTTTAAGCCCTTCACTCCACAATTCTAGGTTGGGTTTGAATATTAGTTTACTATATCCCTGATCATATTTTGGAACCATATACATTTGAAGTCCAAGTTTCATTCTCTTAAAGAGGAATTGCTTAGCATTGTGTACTATTTGTTGCATGAGATATTTTTATTTGAGTTTCTTTAGATGCCAATTCTGACATGTCTTATTTTTGTATGCTTGTGGTTTTTCTTGGTAACAACTATTTTTGGACAGATTTGTTCATCCTGTTCATTTTGAAGTAGGAGTTGGCAAGATGGTGTACAGAGTTGTTCACTTTGCTAAGAGAGAATTTTATTCATAATCTCCTATTCATTAATAGTCAGAAATATCATGCTTACCTTGCACGTATAAATATGTAAGTAATTGTTTTTCTGGTGAATGCATCTTGGGCATTGAGTGCTGTTGACTCTCCCTTTGACTTTCTGTGGCTTTTGCCTCTTCCATTTCTGTTGGTAATGGAGTTGAGTTACTGAAGAAGTAAGCTGGCAAGTAGGCACAGTGGTCATGTAGCTGCCTTGCACTGCTTCCTGGCGTGCTGTTACTGTGGTTCTGCAAGTTATAGAGATAGATGTGAATGATTTTAGTATTTTCCAGACTTGCTTTCCTTCTTTAGAAAAGGTAGAAAATCAAAGAATTAGGTGAAGCCCTTCCTTTATTCATTCCATAGAACTTCTTAATCTTGTTTATTCATTTCCCAAACTGGATAATATAGATTAAAAACGTGCCACCGTTAAAAATATGCCCTGTTTTAAGAAAATCCATTACAGGAAAACCCAAACATTTGCAGCGTAATGACTACAGGGTGATCAGTTGTATCACAAAAGAATTATTTGCTTTATTAAATATTTACTGTGTGGTTTGTTCTTTGTACAAGACTTCTTCTTTGAGGACCCTTGAAGGATGATAAACTTTAAAATATATATATATATATATGCTCTCAGATTGTCAAGAGTAAGTCTCCTGCATAACTATACTTGCGTTCCTTTATACGTAGAGTATTCTATTGGAAGTATGAGTAGTGCTCCATATATGGTATTGTCCATGAGTGGGTTTATAGGTGTCCATACTTTAAAGGTAACCATGTTGCCTTTTTTGGAGGCACACTGGTGGAGTAGAGATCACGGGCTCTGCCGTTAGTGGGCATAGGTCCCCACTGCATCTTCTGTATCTTACTACATGAATTTAGGAAAGTCACTTAATCCAGAGGGGCCTTAGTGTTCTCATCAGTGAGGTGGAAGATAGATAATATTTGCCTTGTAGAATTGTTGTGAGGATTAAGTGGGTGTAGTGTTCATAACACTGTGCCAGGCACACGGTAAGCAGCCAGTTAGTAACAGATGCTCCCCCCATAGTCCTTATAATTCTTACTCACGTTGCTGCGTCTAGTGGGAGTTTCACCTTCTTGTCTACTTTAAGTTCTTTCACTGTTTGCTTGTCTTTACTGTGTGTCCCGTGGCCCTCCCACATCTCTGCCCTACTAAACCTTTCAAGGTGGGTGGGGCCAGTCATATATATGTGTGTGACTGTTCTTGATCTGGCTTGGCCAATGTTCATTCTCTACCTTTCATGCCTTGTTAGAATTTTTTTAAAACCTAGGGAAAGTTGGAAATTTTAACAGTCTTTTCTTTTTTAAATATGGAATGCTTCATGAATTTGCGTGTCATCCTTGCACAGGGGCCATGCTAATCTTCTCTGTATCATTCCAATTTTAGTATATGTGCTGCCGAGGCGAGCACTTAACGGCCATTTCTAGGAGAGTTCTTTACCACCACCTCTTTATAGCCACAAACAATATATATCTCTTACTTGGCCTGTATAAAGCTTCATAAAAGAATGAATAATGACTGATGGCAGGAAAATGCTAAATACACCCAGGGCAATTGTTCTCCAATGTTTTCATGAAACAGAAAGTGTTTTTTTTAATTCTGTTTTTAATTTACGTATAGTAAAATTCACCACTTCTTTTGGAGATTAGTTCTATGAGTTTTAACAAATGCATAATTACATTAACCGTGTTCACAACCAAACTACAGAGCAGTTCCAACACCCATCCCTCAAAAAGAATTCCTGGTGTTCCCTTTTCAGTTAAACCTTCCCTCTACTCTTAGCCTCATGTAACTCTTAACCTGCTCTTCATCCCTAAAGCTTTGTCTTTTCCAGAACGCCATACGCATGTATCAAGTGTGCTGCCTCTTGCATCTGGTTTCTTTCGTTCAGCAAAACTTGTTTGAGAATCTTCCATGTTGTTGCATGTATCAACAATTGGTTCATTTTTACTGTTAAATTATATTCTGTAATATGGATGCATCACAGTTTGTTTATCCATATAGTGGAAGGACAGTTGATTATGGATAGAGCTGCCATAAACATTTGTGTATAGGCTTTTGTGTGAACATAGATTTTTGTTTCATTGGAGTAAATACCTAAGTGTAAGATTGCTTGGTCATCTGGTCATTGTACACATGACTTTATGAGAAACTTCCCCATTATTTTTACACTCTCTGAACTCCTCTGTAGTTCTGCTAAGCAAGTGATAAGCAGTCCAGTTCTTCCATTTTCTCATCAGTACTTGGTATCGTCAAGTTCTTTTTTTTAACATTCTTAGTCATTTCAATAGGTGTGTAGCGTTATCTGTCATTAAACTTTAATTTTCAGTTCTCTAATGTCTAACAGTGTTGAATATCTTTGCATGTATTTCCTTGGGTAAAACTAAAGCAGGTATATTAAAGGCCTCAGTTTGATAAATACATCTCTGCTACATAGGAAAGTAAGTTTTAATATTAGGCTAATGAAACACATAATAAGCAAGGGAATGTACTGTGCTCCTCTCACCTGATGGCATTAAATCCATTCCCCTTACACTTGAGAAAGAATGCCAATTCATAGAAAACAACTTAAGCTAAATGAAAATTGATTTTTTTTATTAGCTCCCATTTGGGGTAGTCTGTGCTGACTCTTCTCCTTTGTTAATTCCTGTCAAGAAGCAGCTGTGCAATTGTCTGTGTATACACTGATGTCTAAATAAGTTAAAACATGCATATAATGTCTGAGGTTAACCAGAGGTTGGCCTACCTAGAATCAACCCTGATTTTGAGGTAACTTGTGTAGAACACTAGATGCACAATTCACATATGTGCTATTATGCATATGTAGTATTATACTTAGTATAATTTATCATTATTATTGTTCCTCTCATGCCATGGATGTCAGGACTTGGGACTTTCATTAAATTATTGCTCAAGGATCTCAGATCACATTGTGCTAATATGACACACAGTAGTCCAGGTTTACTGTCCCAATAATTCATTCTTTTGGAATGGGAATCATAAGTGAAGAATAGTTTATAGGCAGAAACTATGAATAAAGTTCAAATTCTTCTTCAGGATTAAATGGGAAGAGACTCCTTGCTAATATAATCAAATTACCGGATTTGTCTACTTATAGAGACCAAATATGGCCATTTATTAATATAGAATTCTTAGCAGATAATTGTCGTGTACATGAGGTAAGCACCTTTAATTGTAGAAATAATTTGAATAAAAATAGCCGGAGGCTGAGAGTGGGACTCAAACGGTAGAATTCCTGCCTAGCAAGCAAGAGACCCTGATTCAAACTCCAGTGCCAAAAAAAAAAGCCCAAATGGGTCTCATAAGTCTAATTTATTTGGAGGAATCCTCCTTATTAAGAAGTCACCCTTTTTCACCTAAATCACTGTTATATTTTGAGTTTAAATTTCATGCTTTATTCAGGTGCCCACCACATTTTGGGGGTGAGATTAACTTAGACATAAGTTGAAATTGGTACTACTATTATGGACATTTCTTTCCCCTTGTCCCTGTCAGTCTGTGTCTATGTTAGGACCATTCAGTCTGTCCTTTTCTCAATCCATAGTTGTCAGTTGCCTGGTCTGTACATTGTCCTGAACTTAGACTAGATGATAGGTGCTATTTCAGATATGGGAGCCATGGTATGAAGAATCAAAAAACTTGGCCTTGGAGATGAAGTGAACTTACACCAAATACTGGTATGACAGTGGAAGGCAACAGCGTTCAACACAGCAAAATGAAGTATCTAGGCATTCTTGTGCGTTAGGGAAGGGATCTCCAATGCACACTCATGGAAGAGGTATGTGTAACATGAAGGATGCTCACTAGTACAGAACTATATATATTCTATTTGCTTTTAAAAGAACAGGTGTGGTGGTTCATACTTACAATCCCAGATACTCAGTAGGCAGAGATAGAAGGATTGTGGTCTGAAGCTGGCTTGGGCAAAGCATGAGATTCTATCTGAAAAACAAACTAAAAGTAAAAGGGCTAGGGGAGTGGCTTAAGAGATAGAGGACTTGCCTAGCAAGCACAAGTCTCTGAGTACCCTAGTACTACACAAAAAAAAAGGAAAAGAAAAGAAATAAATAAACTAAGCGACATTGATATTTGACAGATTGACACTGGTACTCAATGGTATGTACAGATATCAGAAGGTTGGTCATGTGCCTAGGTTATTTCACCACCAGAGCATCTAACTGTCCATTCATCCTACTGCCTGGCTCATTCATTTTCTGCCTATTATGAGGCTTTGTGGGTCTCCTTGTATCCAGATAAGTGGATTTAGCATGATCTGGTGTCTGTGTGTGTGTGTGTGTGTGTGTGTGTGTGTGTGTTGCTCAGATTTGTACATGCTAACATGCTAAATGAGCATTCTACCACTGAGCCACATTCCAAAGCCTGATCCAATTTTTAACTAAATTAACACTCCTGGTTCCCAGAAGGGCTTAAAAAGATTCTGCCAAGGAGTGAAGGTTGAAAGCAAGTCGAATAATATAAGCACAGGTGAACAATTAAAAGATCCTCCCTTTTCTACATTTTCATCAGTCTCATCATAGAGTAATTGGACTGGAATTGAACAAAAACATTAGGAATGATTACATTGGTACTCAGAAATGTAGATATTAATCAGCTGTCTTTAATACTGTTCCACATCCTAAACATAACTCTTATCTAGACACAGTGCATATAATTAATGAATGAATATATAGACATATTGGGAATGACTTTGGCATGCCTTCCTGATAAGGGAATGTCATCAAACAAGCTTTATGTTCAAGGTTTTTGAGGAAAATTAAGGGGAAAAATCAGCTTTGA